CAATTCGGCTCCATTTAGACTGCTCCCCAGTGGTTCATTGCCTGAACCAAGGGAGTTTGATGCTGTCCTTGGCTCTTTGGGGCTGGTCGCTTCGGGTGACTTATCTGCTGAGTTCCCTGAGCCAAACCGGGTTTGGCTCTCCTGGCGGTTCATATTCAGAGGGGGGTGTCCAACATCCTGGCAGACGGCCTGTCCTGGTTCATTTCCCTATCCACGGAATGGACGGTAGACGTCGACTCATTCCGTTAGCTCTGCCAGATGTTTGGGTGGTGGAGGTGGACCTCTTCGCATGATCTTGGTCGAGGCGTCTTCCGGTATGCGGCGCCCTTCCCCTACTGAGAGGCTATTGGGGTCGATGCCTTTCGACTGGACTGGTTGAGGTGGGGTTATCTGTACCTCTTACCCCAGTTCGGTTGTTGCTCCAGGTCCTGGCTTGCTTGGAGACTTACCAGGGGAGAGTTGTCCTGTTTACCCCTTGGTGGCTGGCCCAACCTTGGTTCCAGGTGCTGCTTGCTCGGTGTCCAAACCCAAGGGTCTTCCCACAGCTCCTCCTTTTTCAGCAGATCAGTCTGGTCCGGGACGTAGCTAGTTGGATCTTCTCCGATCTTTATGTCTGATCTTTTTGATGCGGGTTTATCACCACTTGTATCAGGTGGCTTCGTTGATGGTATCCCACCTACTCGTCTAGTCTAGGCTGCAGTGTGAAGTTTTCTGGCAATCTTTTTGGCACTTCTTGACTCTTCGTAGGTTGTCTTCGATTTTTGATCGGGTTGTTTTATCCTTCTCTCTTGGTTGTTTCAGGACTGTCATCTTATGCCGATTACTGTCGCTTCATATCGTGCGGTGCTGGCAGAGCTGCTTCAGCTTGCATTCGGGGTAGATGTCACTTCTGCTCCGTTCTGCAAGTTTTCTTGGAAGTTGTTTGACCTCCGGCCTGCTCATGCGCTGCCTGAGCTGTCCTGGTTGTTGGACCGGGTATTCTCTTTTTTCTCTTCTCCTCGGTTTGTGGTGGCCTCCTTCGGGTCAGGACTGTTTTTCTAAGGCTCTTTTCTTGTTGGCATTGGCCTCTAGGGGTCGGGTCGGGGAGATTCATGCTCTCCTCCTATGCAGGGGTCTCCTCTTTCAGTCCTGGTGGTCGTTGTGTTCGTTTGCAGCCGTCTCCTTTTTTCTGGTGAAGAATGAGACTGCTTTCCGGAGAGGTCCTTGGGTTGTTAATGCTTAGTTGGTTCAGCTGGTGGTACATCATGTTTTGTGTCCGGTTGTGATTCATAGCTGTTACTTGCGTGTCACGGCCTCCGTGGCAGGGGACACACTTTTTGTTGACCTGGTTTCCCCTTCTTCCCTGTTCCGAGCGTGGGAATATATACACATCAGCCTGGTATAGCTCCAGGGAGCCTCCGAGTCTCACCCAGAAAATGGCGTTTCATTACATTCAACGCTGGTTTGTTTGTTTGTATCATTTGGGGGTAGAATCTGGCAGTTTCAAGGCTTTTTGTCTTGTGAATTTTGCAGTTGTTTGTAAAGCTTCACAGACTTTCTGGATGCTCTCCCAATGAAATAGTAGAATTTTATTTGCTCTGTGCCTCAGAGAGGGAAGCCAGGTTCTGGCTGTGGTCCCCTTCAGGCCAAACAGAACTCCTGCAAATGATGCAACTTGTAGTGTGGAACAATCTCATCAAGTTAGCTGCAGGGAGCCACCAGGGCTCTACCAGAAAGAGGCATTTCATTACATTCAGCATATCAGTATGTGGCAGCTACTTGTGCCTCGACTGTTGAGGTTCACAAGACCCCATGTTTATTTGGCTTCAGTTTTCTGTATCTGAACTGTTACCTGTCTGGTTCGAGGGTGGCCTGGACATTCTGGCTTTAGTGCTGGATGTTCCTGTCATGTTGCTTGCAATGCAGGATTTCAGAAGCTTTACCCAAGTGGTTTGCACTTTTTATTCGGGAAACAGTTGATGACTTCTCTTTGGCCCATCTAGCATGTGGCTAGATGGGCCAAAGCATGGGCCAAAGCATGGGCTAGCTGTGCTTGCCCATGCTTTGCTTTTGGCTTGGTCCCTTACTCTGCCTTCTTTGCTTTTGTCTCTCCTTTCTGGAGGAACCCCCCTTCCCCCACCCTCCGAGTCGTTTCCTGTGCCTCGACTGTTGAGGTTCACAAGCAATTCTCAGCAATCTTGCTGAGATTGCTCCAGACTAAAAGGTCACATCAGTTGTGGAAGTTGTACTTGGCATATCAGGGATCAGAGTCAGAACCTGGCCCCCCACCCTCACAAAGGAACTCGGAGTGGGTGACAATCCACCATCCTACTGGAAAAAACTCCAGAAAGTCAGCAAAGCTTTACAGACAACTGAAGGCTTCACCGAAAACAAAGCCTCAAAACCACCAAACAACCCTTCAAACGATTCACACACACACAACAAAGAATTCACTCAAACTAGCTCAAAATTCATTAGTACCAATTATCACCACCAGGCGGCCCGGCCCCTAGCTCCCATTTCAGTTGTGTTGCTGATTATGCTGCTGGCTGTAGTTCTTATGGTCTGTCTGATTGTGGGCATTGTGAGCTAAGTGCCAGCCATTTTTGGACTTTGTTGAAATGAGGGGACCATTTGCTTTGTGTATTATTTCTTTTAGTATAGGCTTCATGTGTGTGTGTTTTGGTTCCAGCTTGTTGTGTGGGGCAAATGACCCCCACAGAGAACACAAATATCAAGAAGGAAAGAAGGGCACCCCACTAACACACACTAGAACTGAAAACCAGCCATGATGGATCCAAGGTGGAGTTGTATTCCACGCCCAATGCACAGGCAGAAGGCGGCAACTTAAGGAACAGTGGCAGAGGAAGAGCACAGTTGTGAAAGTAAAAACTTTGCACCACTGGTGGGAAGAGACTGCTCAGTTGCCTCCTCTGTTGAAGAGGTGGAACACCCCATTTCCAGGTAGGGCCAAGCATAAAATCCTGAGTGGACCAAACAAGGGGCAAAGCTTGGAGGCGAGGAAAGGAAACTAAGATGGAACTTAGGCATAGTACACCAAAACTAATAAAGTCCTAAGGGCCACACCAGCATACAAATGAGTACCAGGCTGCTACCACAAACACTGGAAACCAAACCTACAAAATGGCAGGTGACTGGCAAGATTTGAAAGAAGATACCCACTAAAGAGAAGGGAAAACACCCAAAACATACAGTGCAGAACTTCGGGTCGTAGGTGTCATAGACTCAACAGGTACTAAGGTGGAAGCAGAGAGATTGATTGTCGGACTGCAGCAGGACCAACAAGCACCTAACAAATTCACATGTAGCGAGTGTGTACTTGATGGGTTGATCTAACACAAGACATGCCACAGCAAGGGGGGATTAACAGAGCCTGAAGTAGCTAGCTAAGCATGATAGCAAAACACTGGAACCGCTTGCCAAAAGAACAGAATCAAACTTGTCTACAACTCTCGGGCTATGAATAGCAACCATGGCATGCTGCATAAGCAAGCATGCAAGCCCCAGCACAACCAAAACAGAGTGCTCCTATCCAAGGGCCTAAACAGAGGAGTGATAGACCCACGAACAGCCCATGGCATGACTCTCCACCCCGGTGGCTTGGCCTCTCAGAGACGAACTCCAGTTCACACCAGAGAAGAGACTGTCAGTGCAAGGGCAGGACTAGCGAGCACCCAAAGAAGAACACCCTAAACACACGCAGCCCAAAGCACCACAAAAGCTGGAGAGCTTTTGTGGTGCTTTGGGCTGCTTTGGGCCCACACAACAAGCTGGAGAGAAAACATGCATGTAAAGCATATACTAAAATAAAAGGAGCACAAAAACAAACAAATGGCCCCTGCAGGATGACAGAAGTCCATATACAGCCAGCAATTAGCTTGAAACAGAAGGGTTTGCCCACTGCTGGCAGACCAGAGCACTACAGGTAAGCTACCACCATAAAAGCACAAGAACCGAGTAGAGGAGTTGGCTGTGGACAGGGGCCGGGCTATCTGGTGGTGGCAATCAGTACAATCAAATTTCAAGCTAGTTTGAATGAATCTCTAGTTCCATGTGAATTGTTTGCAGAGTTGTTTGAAGATTTTGAGGCTTCATTTTCTGTGAACCCTCAAAGTTATCTGGAAAAGCTTCAGTGACTTTCTGGATGCTTTCCCAATGGAGTGGCAAATTGTTACTCACTTCCGGCACCTCTGTAAGGGGGTGCCAAGTTCTGGGTCTGGTCCCCAGTAGATTAAACAACTTCTGTGACTGATGAGACCTATTAGCTTGGAACAGTCTCAGCAAGCTAGCTTCTGGGAGGCATCGGGAAGATGGGGTGAGCTTCACCAGAAAAAATTATTTAAAACAGTTTTGTGTTTATTATGTGTTACTTGATTTTCTTTTAAACTTTGTTTCTAGTAACCATGATTATGTTTTAATGGTAAATCTCAAACACGTGTGAATTGGAAAACATCATTGTAAAGTTGACTCGGACCCATAACCTGTCTTTGTTGCTTAGACCTCTTGGTTTTCTAAGTTTTTTTGTCTTGTCTTGTTGCATTCCTCCGGACATTTTTGCTGAGATAGTTGAGATTATTGGCGTTTTTCCAAATCGTAATAATTATGCTTGTCCTAATTGGTGTAATTTTTGATTGGTGAATTTCTGTAATGGTTATATCTGTCTTGTTTTGGTGATTATGATTATTTGTTCTAATGTATGTTTTCTAAAGAATATGTATCACCAAGCAATTTTTAAATTAATAAAAGGCACCATTAAAAATATTATATTTTGTGAGGTGATAAATCTTGTGTTAATTCAGAACTACATTAATTATGTCCTGACTTGTAAGATTTGGTATTTGTAAGATTATACTGTATTACACAATACTTTTCATGCAAGTAACATGTTCTAAAATGAGTGAAAATTATTTTCATGAATAAATACTTTTGGTTTTATTTATTTTGGAGCCTGCAATCATTTTTAGATAAATATAATTCATGCCATGCTATTGCACTTACAGATTATCGAGTCTGAATCGAGCTTGAGTACTCTGAGTGAGGAATCTGAAGATGACTTGAATCAATTTAATGAAAGGAACCTTGCAGACAGCAATCGGCAATCATACTCTTCGCAGACAGATACACTAACTCAGCACAGCCTTTTGGATAATGCACCTGAGTTCAGGTTCATATCAAGTGCTACAGGGGTTCAACCCAGCCCATACATGTAAGTGTTTTCTGTGGAGAGCCCCTCCAGCTTCCCAGAGCTTACCGAGCTGATATGTATGTATTAGACTGTGGCATCAGTCAATTTGATTGGAGTTCTTGCCTACCAGGAACCATGAACCAGAAACTGGCCCTCCCTCAGAGAGGCACGAGGAGCAGTGGCTGGGGGTTTGAAACATTCCGTGTCTGCCATCGAATTGGTTAGGCACCCAGAAAGGTAGGTATCCCAATACAAACACCACCTGGTTAAAAATGGCTACTGAAAGCATAACTATCAAGCAGAACTTCCAAATCCAAAAATGAGCAATCAAGCATGACGTCACAACCGCTGCCGCACCGCTGTCTACGCAGCTCCAACCCTCCCCAGGAGGGGGAAGTGGGAGCCCCAGACCCCCATCTTGGCCTTCCAACACCAGTTCTGAGGCTGATGTGTTGAGTGGTGGTCGTTTGACTCTGGCTCCTGTCTCTGTGCAGTGCTGTGGCCTTGTGGTGGTGGTGTGCGAGCTAGGAGTAATTAACGAAGTACTAGGGCTGCATGTGCTTAGGGTCATCTTCCCTAGGTGCCCTGTAAGTATTGCCCTTAAGGCTTGGGGTTATCTTCCACAAGTACCTCCATAGGAATCTTTTGCTGCTCGGTGATTGCCCACCCTTGGAGTCAGCTGGGGGTTTTCATAGCCTCAGTTTGACCTTGGGTAGGAGGTAGTATCATAGTTGATAGAGCTCAAGATACTGTACAGCTTTTCTCCCATTGATCACAGCAGCTGGTTCTGTTTCTCCTGGAGACATTGTGCTTTTGCATATTTTTTTTTCTTTTTGTTTCTTACCTGGTGTCTGCCCCTTGGTCATTGTCCACCCTCTGTTTTTCTGGTGGTCCCTTGCTAGGTCCCGGTGATTGTACATGTCAGGGGTTCAGCTTTAATTGTTCTCTTGTAGTTTGGGCCAACCAGTTAGCAGTACCTTGCCTGGGCTTCCCTTCCCAGTCAGCTTAAAGGTCCTGGAAAACCCCATTTGACTCATTGGTCTGATGTATGTGTCCTCTGGGTCCCATCTCGCTTCGTGCGAGTTCAAAGGTAGCTCTGTCACCCCTTTTCTCAGGGTGACACTTACCTCTGACATGCTACCTGCTAGGTTAATGACACCTTGACCTGGAGTCCTGCTTATATTATTTTGTTTGTGCTCCAGTTTACCCATTCTACTGATATTGATATTCGGGTACAGGCGGCTTCAGCGTTGCATGCATGTAATTGGTTGCTGCAGCATGCCAGGCTGGTTGCTCCACCTAATTGCTCTGCAGCTGCCCCTGTTGGGTTATAGGAACCCGGACTTGGGAGCATTAGTCACTTCGACTTTGGTTTCGTCTGCGCTTCCGAGTCCTTCCCAGGTTGGTGTTGTTCATCCTGCTTCCCCCCCCATTAAAGCAGACATTAGGCAAGCAATTAGGAAAAAACTAGATTCCAGCAGGAAATTAGAACAATACACTGCAGACAAAAGTAAGTCCATAATAATCTTTAGGTGTTTGGAAAGGCAATATCATCTAGGACAAACAGCAGCAGCAGAAGTAAAAGTCATATAGATAGTAGTACAGTAGTAGTAGTAGGTTTAAGAAAAGGCCTCACAACAAAGGACAATGGCACTGTTTTAGAAGAATAGGCAAATATAAAAAAGATAAGAATAGCCCCTTCAGGGTGACATTTAATAATAATAATACTGTATTTCATTGTGTTGGAAAATAGGCAGCCAGTGTGTATACGCTGTATACATGTTAGGCTCATATTGTGGTCCTCCCCAGAGTCAAATTATTTACCCTTCTCAGGATATACCCTTCTCAGTCAAACCCTCAAACGTACAAGAAAGACAGACATGCAAGAAACAAACAGGTTTATTCTATAAATTAATTAAAACAAATTGCAGGTAAAGGAAAAAATCCAGAGGTTTGAAATGGGGGAACAGATTTGTGAGAGAATGAACAGGGAATGTGTGAAACACTAAATGAATACTGTAGTTTCAAAGTGTTTTGCAAAATGAATTTCACAGAGAATTGGGCACAATACCAATTTCAGAGAATAACATATTATTCTAATAATACATAACAACAGTGAATACTTAGAGGTACCCTACTTTACCCTTCAGGCCCTTGAAATCCTTTACGGGTTGAATGTGGCCAGTGGATAGTGCCTCTGAACACCTGGTACCTGGGAGTTAGACAACTGCTATGGGCTGCTTCCTGGGGATGTGCAACAAAAAGGAGGCCTGGTTGAGGACTGGACTGCAGGGACGCTAAGCCCCAAAATCATCTCAAGATAAGCTCAAAGATGTAACTCTTCTTTGGCCCTCCCGATGAAGCTCTTACATGTATGGTGATTACTGTACTGCTTTATGGGTTAATTTTTGCCTGTCTTCAATGGTCCAGGTTGTTTGCCCTGCTGGATGCCCCAGAGCTGATCTGCCTCATGTTTAGGGACCTGATATAGATGGTGTTGGTAAAACTCTACCTTGGCTTTGTCTGGCTTCGTCATTTTTGACAAAGCTATTGGTGGCTTTGTCCGCACCTCCTCTTCCTTTCCCTTTGGGCATGGTTCACCCTTCCTCTGATCATCCCCCTGCTTCCAACCCTGAAACATCCGAGGGTTTGTTGGTGAGTGCATGGTTTAGCTCAAGATGTGACTCGACCATCTCTGGAAGGCGGCTCCTCCCAATTCGGGCATAGAAGCAATTAAGGTGGCTGGCCCCGCTGAGGTTTTTAGGTTTTCCTTGCAACCAGCTCTTTCTTCTTCTGAAACCTCTCCCTTGGACTCCCTTGGACTTTGCTTTTCTATCATAGGAGATTGGCGAGGACATGGGCTCTGCCCAGGACCCTTTGTGGTTCCTGGGGCTTGGGGAAGTTGGATAAGAGTCTTCGATTTCTTTGGACCCCAGCTGGACCTTCATCTTTTCTGATGAAGGTCTTTTGCTTCATGGGGAGGGGTTTTGTATCCCCCTCTTTGTATGAATTTGATCAGAATGTGGCTTCCCAAGGTTTTTTTTCTGTGTGTCGATAGGTCCATCAGGTCTGTCCTTCTGGAGGTTTCCTTCCTCTCAAGTCCCGCTGTCAGCACTCATAAGGTTCTTTTTTAGTACCTCCTGTGTGACCCAGAATTTACCTCTATTATAGACCCCGCCTCTTTTTTATGTCCAGGGTTGATATTCAGGCTCTGGGGTTGTGGTGGTCGAACAGGGTGCTGGTGACCCAGTACTTGGTTAACCCTTAAACTGCGCATGGCGTATATATACGCCCTGAGTAACATGTCCCATGGTGCGCATGGCGTATATATACGCCATAGGGTGCCAGGCCTGATTCAAATGGCCCGCGGCTACACGGGGTTCACAGTAGCTTCCTCAGGGCTCTTGTAAACAGATGCCATTTAAAAAAAAAATCGTGGGCAATATTCTCAAGTGTGAGAGGCACAGTACTGTTGGAGCAACCAAGGCCGGCACACGCAGCATGAGCGAACAGCATTGATGTTCAGCTTGTGACCACAGCATCGCCGAAAAATGCCAAAATAAATATATAATTGTTATTATTTAGCGATGACAATATTACAGATGACCCATGACTGTGATATAAATAACCAGGGTTGTGATAATAGCAGGATTGTTGTAATAATTAGTGCTGTGGGAGGAGTGATGCTGAGAGACGGAGGGAGACAGCATCGTTTACTGACTGTGTGGCCACCTGTTATTGTTTGCATTCACCATACCAGGTCAGTGGTTCTCTATGGTGAACACAAATGTAGATACTTATATATAATGTGTGTATTAGTGTAATAACAGCAAAAGGATTATGCTGGGAGGAGCCATTTGGGTGACGGAGGTGACGTCGTCTGCATGATTTGTCTAGCTGTTTAGAGGGTGGCCACTATGCTCTTTGGGCGCACTACAAGCTTAGGTGTACAGTTACGGTGCATAAAACATGTAGATATTTATATATAATATGTGTATATAGGGTAATAACACTGCAAAAGGTATTGTTGGGGGAGAAAGTTTAGTGCGTGTGACCTTGAAAGAGTGAGGGAGCCGCCAGCCGCCATCTGTGTATAGCGACGACTCTTAGTGCCTGAACTAACTATATCAGCTTAGCTGTACAGTTGTGGTGAACAAAATATACACATACTTATATATAACGTCTGTATATAGTGTAATAACACCACAACTGGTATTGTTGGGGGAGAAAGTTTAGTGCGTGTGTTGAGGGAGTGGCAGCGAGTGGCTGGCTGGTGTGTGGCGGTAACTCCTCGTTGCTTTTCGACTCTCAATACCAACTAAGTGGTTCGTTATGGTGACCAAAACATGCAGATACTTATATATAACCTGTGTATAGAGTGTAATAGCAGCAAAACTATTTATTTATAGTTTTATAAACATAATAATTGAATCACTAATATGCACATCATACTTTTGAGTATAGCGATTATTAACCACTTTTATTATATAAATATATTACAATACACACTATTGAATAATATTACAGCAAAAAAACTAAAAAAAAATCAATCAGAGACATTGAAACAATTAGGTAATAATATCTTTGCGGCAACTCCCATCTGTCAACGCGGGTGACGCTGACCGGGTCTGACGACCGCTCTGTCAACGCCCACTTTTTGCCAGACTTCCTCGGTCAATTGCGCCCAAAATATGTCACCTACGATTTTTTTTTTATTTTTTCCATGCTCCGGGGACACAAATTAACATGTTTAAAAGACGAAAAAAAAATTTTGAATTTTTTTTTTTCTTGCGCACAGGGGTGTAAATGTCCCAAGGACCCCTGAGCAGTGTAAGGGTTAATGTTCGGGCCTCATTGCCTTTGTGTTGCATTGAGTTTTGTGTCTCGACTGGCTGAGTCTGGCTCGTCTTGACTGCCTGCTGTTCCCCCTCCTCCCTAGTGAGTCTGTCTTTTCTTCTCCATGGGTTTCTCCATGTAGCTTCAGGAAGCTACAAGGGGTTTTCCCAGAAACTCATCGTTGAATATAATGAAACGCCGACTTCTGGGTGCGCCCCTGATTTCCTCCCCATCCCTTCCAGATAGTTGGTTGGGGGTGTTTTGTGTGTACATCTGCTCCAGAACTGACTGGGAAGGGTGGGGTGAACAAGATCACATTTGTTTAGAGAGATTCAGTCATTTGTTTAAATTACTGGGGGAGGGGGGTGGGGCGATTCATTCAGCAGGTTGTGAGGCTTCGATCTCTTGTGTACCCAGCAGTGGTTTGTATTGGTTAACTGACTTTCTGGATGCCTTCCCTAGTAAGGTGGCAGAGCTCACCTGCTCTCTTGGCCTCTGTGAGGAGAGCCATGTTCTGACTCTGGTCCCTGTTAGGCTGAACTGAACTCCACGGCCGAGGCACTCTAGTATTTTGAGAACCATCTCGGTGAGATAGCTTCAGGGAGCCATCAGAGTTTCATTAAATTCAACACAGGGTTTCCATTGGACACTGCTGCTTCTTTGTCTTTACGTAACCATAATTTCTCTCCTCACATATAAATATAGTATTATAGCCTTGTCTACAAGTACTATAGATAGGCAGGCGATGAGTCGCAATAACGTGGCTGAAGTATGTTGACCAATCCACACACTAGAAAATGAAGGGTTGACGACGTTTCGGTCCATCCTGGACCATTCTCAAGTTGATTGAGAATGGTCCAGGATAGACCGAAACGTCGTTGTCCCTTCATTTTCTATTATAGATAGAATCTGAAACATAACTGCAATATTGTTTGTTTATATCATGTATCTATCTATTAATATTTTAAACTGCAATAAAATTTTCTCTCTCCATAGGCAGTATGGTCTTCCAATGGATATAATTGACTTAAGCACTGGTCAGGATCCTAAAAAATTCATTGATTTTCTTCAGATGGTAAGGATATTTTAGTTATAACAAATAGTATTTTGATCACTAAACAATGCAACATAGGAAAAGGAGTAATCATTGAGAGGACTGTGTGATAGTGGATAAAGCATAGCAAAATTTAAATTTCCTGAAGTATAGGAGAAGGAATAAACAATATAGGATGATTTATAGAGAAATACAGTCAACTCCATGGTATTCCATCTGGTTGGTACCAAGGGCAAACAAATGCTGTAGTGGGGTTTTATGTAGTGTGCATACCTCTTAAATACTGATGTAGTGATCAGTTAGAGAGGACAACTTCTTGTTTTTCTGGGGAAGACCCCCAGAGGCTTCCTGAAGATATCTCAATGATATTGCTCCTACTAATAGGTCACATCAGTCGTCTGAGTTTTGTTAGGCCTAACAGGGACCAGAGCCAGAACCTGGGCCCCCTATTTCTCCCCACCTACAGAGGCAGAGAGAGAGAGAGAGAGAGAGTGACATTCTGCCACTGGGAAGTATCCTGGTCATAAAAGCCATACAGAATTCCCACAACTGATGTAACCTAGTACAGTAGTTGGAGCAATCTCAGCGAGCCACCGGGGTTCTATGAGAAAGTGGCATTTCATTATATTTAATGCTGGTCTTATAATAATATACAGGTGTATATTAATATAAAATACCTTTGCATGTCAGCTTGAAACTTTAAATGCTCACAGTACATACACCTCACTCTTGAAATTTCGATATCTATATAACGAATCCTTTTAACCTTTCTAATGCACATATCAAACAGGGAATCTCATGCCATATCTGACCCAACTGAGCAAGTCAAATAGAGCTGATTTAGAGTACCCTACAAAATAAAAGTTTTGCACATGCACATGGCTACCATGAGTAGCACCATGCTGCAGCAGCTCACAGCACTGCCATGCAGCTTGTCCCCACGGCATTTAATATGGCCAAAATGAATAAAATAGCTGTGATTATTTTGCATTGATGGTGTCATAGAAGATCCTGACTGTGATGTCAGGATCACAGGTCCAGATATCAGTGAACACAATGATGGTGATGATGTTCACAGCACAAGACAGACGTCCACAGCAGATAGCCGCGGTTTCATTCATCTATGCATCATGAAATGGGACCTCATGTTCCTTTAGAAAATACTTGTGGAATATTATTAATTTTCATGATTTAGTGACATGAATCTGAAAATAATAGCAGATTTGGAGCTAGAGGAAGTGATGTGCATAGTACAGTATACTGGAAGCATTTTGCTTCATCAGGTCACATCGTCTGCTGGTATTGGTTGGCACCATGCTGTGCTTGGCTTTCATTCCACACCCACCAGACCCGCATAGTGGTTTATAATGGAGCCTAAAAATGTAGAGTGATGTGTATATGTAATAATTGCAAAACGTGTTAGTTTTATTGTTCAAAGTATAATATACACATTGGTGACACAAATATATGTGTATACCTTTGTTCTACAAGTTCTGTGATACAAATAACAAAATAACATTTTTAACACTTGCGTCCCCGGCGTGCACACTCCAGCCCACCCCAAGATGGGCCTGCCATTTTCCGTGAGCGCTCACCCACGCTGAAATGTGTATACACTTTTCAGTTTTCTCATATCAATTTTTGTGTTACATTGCTCATTTTGGTATCAAATTGTTCGCAATAGAATTCTCTAAAGCGATGTATGCTTATAAGGTAAATCAAACAGGCACGCTACCCACAGCAAACCAGAAAATCGGCTGAGCATTACCCGTGAGCGCGTAATCGCACTAAAATGTGTATACCCTTTTCAGTTTTCTCACTTTAATTTTCGTGTTATATCGTTCATATAGGGAGCCGGTCGGCCGAGCGGACAGCACACTGGACTTGTGATCCTGTGGTCCCGGGTTTGATCACGGGCGCCGGCGAGAAACAATGGGCAGAGTTTCTTTCACCCTATGCCCCTGTTACCTAGCAGTAAAATAGGTACCTGGGTGTTAGTCAGCTGTCACGGGCTGCTTCCTGGGGATGGAGGCCTGGTCGAGGACCGGGCCTCGGGGGGACTAAAGCCCTGAAATCATCTCAAGATAACCATAACCTTCATTTTGGTATCAATTTGTTCATGATAGAATTTTCTAAGCAGATATATGTGTATAAGATAAAAAAAAAAAAGCAGGTACGCTACCCGCAGCAAGCTAGAAAATCTGCCGAGTGTTACCCATGAGCAAGCACCCATCAGCACACACACACTAAAATGTGTATACAGTGACACCTAGGCTTACAAATGCCCGTGTTTATGAACTTTTTGGGGTATGAGCCCAATTTCTTTGTAAAATGTGAATCGGCTTACGAACTTTGCCTCGGGCAATGTAGTTTTGTTGATATGCATATGGGCAACCTAGCACTTAGTGCCTGGTGGTACGGCCGCTCACATTTCAGTTTACCACACCCGCTTGGTGACGATCGCGCAAGAATTCTTTGTAAAGAATTTCATTGTTTTTCGGCTTTTCTGGGGGAAGCCCTGTTGGCTCCCCGGAGCTATCCAGGCTGATATATAATTATTAGCTTTCTGGCATCAGTCAAAATGCATTGAGTTCTTGCCTACCGGGGACCACGAGCCAGAACCTGGCCACCCTCACAGAGGCACGAGGAGCAATGGCCTATAGAAACCCCCCGTGTGGTTGGGAGCATTCTATGTCTGCCATTGACTGGATCTGGCACCCAGAAAAGTAGGCACCCCAAAATATTCTGGTGAAAACATTGCTACCAAAAGCCAAATGACAAAAACTCCCCAAACAAAAATTAGCAAACGAGTATGCCATCATCACGTTGCCATGCCACTGTCTGCACAACCCCCCCCCCCCCTCCCCGGGAGGGGGAAGGGGGAACCCCAGACCCTCGCACCGGCAATCCAACTGTCAGTTCTTAGCTGATGTGATACTGGTAGGTCACGTGTCTCTGACTCCTGCTTTGGTCTCAATTTCTGTGCCTTGTGGCGTGGTCTGTCTCTACAAGTGTTGTGTGAGCCAGGAGTAATATTCTATTGTACTCGGGCTGATGGGCCTAGGGTTTCCTTCCCTAGGGGCCCAATAAGTACTGCCCTTGGGGCTTGGGGCCACCTTCCACAAGTCACCTTGGGATCTACCTCCACTGTGTCTTTTACTGATCAGTACTTGACCGCGTTTGGAGTCAGCTGGGGTTTTTGTTGTCCTTATTTGTCTCTGGGTAGGAGGTAGATTTTGTCACTGGTAGGGGCGCAGGATATTGTACAGCTAGTTATCACCTCATATAGTGGCCGGCCCTGTTCCAACCTGGGGTACGTTGTCTTCTTGTGGGGTTTTTCTTTCGTTTTTGTTTTCCTGCCTGGTAGGAGGTCTATCTTTGGTTGCCCCTCTCTACGCTTGGGGGTCTTTATATATACATATCTGTGTGTTTGGTGGTACCTTCCCTGCTAGACCCCCATGAGTGGACACTTCCTGGGGGTTAAGCTTTTTAGAAGTTTGCTTGGTAGTTTTGGGAACCAGTTCGCAGTACCCTACTTGGGCTTCCCTTAGCGTGTTACCAAGGCTTAGGGTCCTGGGAAACCCCACAGGGGCTCCGTGGTTTGATGGATATGACCATTGAGTCCCCTCTCACTTCGTGTGAGGTTGATGGTTGATCTGTTCCCTTGTCTCAGGGTGACAATCAACAGTTGTGCCTCCGCCATGCTGCCTGTCGGGTCGGTAATTCTTTTGACCCGGAGTCATGCGACGTTTGTTCCTTGTACATACTCCAGTTCACCCAAGTTACTGAACATGATAACATGAACATGAGGGTGCAAGGAGCAGAGGCGTTGCATGCAAAACTAGTTTAGGTTGCTGCAAGGCAATAGGTTCATTGCTTCCCCAGATGCCCCGAGACTACCCCGTTTTGGTTATAAGGACCTGGACTTAGGGGTGGAAGTTGCTTTGGCTTTGGTTCCGTCCACCCCTCCTTGTCTTTTCCCTTCAGTCGTTCATTCGGTCCCCGCCCCCTTTGCTTCCGGCTCCGAAACGTTTGAGGTTGGTGTTGAGACTTGAGTGTTGAGAGGGAGTCGTTCGGCTGAGCGGACAGCACGCTATGCCCCTGTTACCTAGCAGTAAAATAGGTACCTGGGTGTTAGTCAGCTGTCACGGGCTGCTTCCTGGAGGTGGAGGCCTGGTCGAGGACCAGGCCGCGGGGACACTAAAGCCCCGAAATCATCTCAAGTTAACCTCAAGATAACCTTCTCGGGGCAGTCCCCTTCTGGGGTGGCGGAGGAGGCATTCAAGCCTAGTCCTCCAACCAGAGCTTCTGGGTCTAACTAGTGGGCCCCCTTCATTCCTGCTTTTTCGGCTGCTCCTGCCTTTTCTTTAGAGGCGGGGGGGTTTGGAGGACGGGTCCTCCAAATCCGGGGTTGAGGAACCTCGACCCCCGGGTCCTCAGGGTGAGGTTCCTGGGGCGGGGGAGGGTTGACTTGGAGGTCTCTGGGCCTCTGGAGCTTGGGGCTGCCTCTGAGTCTGGTGCGTTGCCCTTGGCAGTGCGTGCATCATCTAATTACCTAAGTGTAGTTACAGGATGAGAGCTACGCTTGTGGTGTCCCGTCTTCCCAGCACTCTTTGTCATATAACACTTTGAAACTACCAGTCTGCATTGAAACTTTGAAAGTCTGCATTGTTGAAGCTGTTCGCGCCACTCCTGCGGGGTGTGGTTTCGCAGTTTTTTGCTTCTCGACTCGTGTGTCGGCAGGCGGTGCTCGCTTTTTCCTTGGAATCCGCTTGGGCCTTGGCTCTTAGGCTTTCTTCAGCTTTTTATCCATTGCTGTTTGCTGAGTCTGTGGTTGTGCAATATTTACAGGCAGCTTCGGCTAGTTGCCCTCCTATGACGGACTTGTTAGACCTCTGAGGGGCTCGTCTTCCCGGGGGCCAGGAACTGACAGAAGGGGCCTTCCCGGAAAGGTCGTGCCAGAGCTCGGGGTTCTTCCCGCCGTGGTAGGCCAGTGGCGCCAGATTCGGGTTAGGTGCAGC